AATATCACATTTGTACTTACTAGAGACAGAAGAGATCAGAAAATGGAATGCGATAAAAATTTTTCAAAAGTGAAAATACTAAGAAAGTTGAAGGCACTGTTACATGGTTCTTGTCATGATAAACAGCCAGAGTATAGCTAAGAAAAATTTTTGAGAATTATTCGACAATAAAACTTCAAGATGGATGTTTCTATTGAATTCTAGGATTTGATTAATCCAACTAAAATGCTGAAATTACCAGGGTTCTAGGAGTGAAATATTGTTAGTTGTTTGATCTTGTAACAGTGTTAATATAGAAAATTATTTATATTGAGCTATTTTTAGTCTCAAAAATGCAAAGTATACTTTTTGCTCAATTTGATGTATTTCTGATTTTAATACATTTTGACTGACTACTTATTATTTAATTTTGTTTTATTGTTCTCCTTTATGAAGAACCAATATTTGTAGCTGAGAAATAAATCAAGAATTATACATAAATTTTGAGCTTAATGAGTTCTAATAAAATTTCTATGCTTGTCAAGCTTAGAGTAAACAATTCAATATATTCACCAACTGTTTAGCAGGAAAGATATGGCTACAAAGGGAATAAATCACAGGGAAAAAATAAACTTTGTCCAAAGTCTAAAATATGTATGAAATAGCATATCTTGACACAAAAAGGTAGAATCAGTGGGAGTTATTTTTAAAAGGTGAAAATATGTTCCATTGCATTTAATGACATTACTTTTCAAAGAAATGCTTTTCAAAAACAGAATTCATTTTATTCTACAGAAAGGAAAAAAAACTTCGAGAATACAACTTGGAAATTACTGATACTATTGATATATCATCTCATATTTTTTCAGTTAATCTCAATTAAGAAAATAAATATCTTGAAAGTAAAAAGTATTTCAAAATGTCTATAGCTCAAAATTACTAATGTGCTTAGAAAAATATTTGTTAAAATCCACCAAATGCTGCCTATCTATCTGCCTGATATTACATGACTTAAATATGTACGTTATTTACTGTTCTCCAGGTGATCCCACCATGCCCAAGTCAGTAACTTCCCCAGAGAGCAGGCACGCAGGGCTCAGCGCCAGGCAGTCTACTGCGGAGGCTGCACACCCTAGCACTTCTGTCTCCCACCCGCTCAGGCTAAGGAGCCTGCCAAGGTTTGCTGCATTTGAAACTTATTGTTAAACTCCAGGCAATCTGAGATGTCAAATGTGCAAACTTTTTCTCATTATGAAAGTGAATGTTTGAGTTTCAAGCAACTAGAAAGGAAAGTGAGCACAGTAGATGAGCCAGAAGATTGTACAGCGTAAATGTTAACAGCAGAAAAGGTGGCATTTAATTTTCAGCTAGGATCTGACGTTGTGATTACTCATTCAAAACAGAGACAACAAAACAGCAAACGATCATATTTAACATTCAAGGTCATAACACTGAAAATATAAATATATATATATACACATATATATTTCTAGAAAGCTACACAAGAATCTCTCATAAATTACGCTCAAAGAGAAATGACTCATTAACATCATTCCAAATATTAAAGGTAATTTTTATCTTAAAACAATTACCTGATCAAAATCTTTAAAGTTTATTTATTGAATAGTAATTCATATAACTCACATTCTGTGGAGGACAATAGGGCCTTGTTGCCAGAAAATTTATCATCGTTTGTTTTCAGCTTTCCAAATTAAAGGGCGCATGGAGGTTTTATCCTATGATACCAGCCTGAGGTCACCCAAGAAGGAAGTGTGACCCTGTGCATGTGGGTCCACTTTCCTTTGAAGGTGGCTCTGAAAGGAGCAATAGGAGGGACAGCAACATGGATCCCCTCTAGAAGTAAATTTCAAAGGCCCTATTTGGCCCATCTTCCACACAGGAATATTAGAAAACTTTGTTGCCTTTTATTTTCCATTGTGTGATATTAAATGGGAAAATAAATCCAGGATGTGCAGGTCCCTATGGTATGAGCTGCATAAGAAGCCACAGTGCAGGAAATGCAGGGCACAAGGTCTATGGAACGGGCTGCTGCGAGCTTTGGTGGCAAGGCTAAAAGAAAAAGGAAAAGGGAAGAAAAGAAAAGAACCTTTGGCACTTTAAGACAGACCTCAGAATCACTTGAGAAATTTCTCCATCTGGGTCCACTGTATTAATGAGATCACAAAGCAACTGCTAACTTAGAATGGAATAATTTAGGGAGGAAAGTTTATTATTATACATGAGAAATTTATCATTTATAAAAAAAAATTGCATGTGACAACAAACAGTATTCTTCATGTAGACCTCATCAGTGGGTAGATTAAAAGCAGAGAGCTTAAATTCAAATTTTACAAGAATCCCCTGAATTTAATTACAGTGGACCCTTGACTTACGAACTTCGGTGGTTCCTGAGGGCTGGTTGTAACTCAAGTTGGTTGTAGGATAATACAGCTGAAATCTGGTTGTGTATCTGTGTACACACTATAGATAACAAGAGGCAGATGAATCTTCCACTCACCTAATTAACTCAAGTTGTTCATATGTCAGGCCAGTTGTAACTTCAAGGTCCACTGTAAACAGTTTCTAAAACTGGTTTTGAAGGCATGTAAGTAGTACAGAAAAATTCAATTTACCTATCTTTTGTTTTGAAATTTTAGTTGCCCATCATTTTTTAAAATTGGAAAAACTTTAAATTACAATGACCACGATGTAAACTTAGTCAAAGGCATAAATAAAAATGGAGTATATGATGAAATCCTGAATGAATACTCAGAAAACCAATCTCATTAATATTTAAAAATACTATGACTAAACAGTGTGTACGTTTTTCTACTACGCAAGTTTTTGACTCTCCAGAAATATGCCTAATGAACCAAGAATTTCTAAGTGACTGTCTAGCAAGTGACATTCATGCTGATACCCAGGAAACACAACCCTGTATCATTTGCTAAACGATGACCTGTTAAGAGAATGGTATACACGAATCACTAGATTTAAAAGAATCAACAAGTTTACACATTCCCCAAAAGGTAAAACAAGCAAGGCTGTTTTCTCCTTTGGTCAGTAGTGATTCAGGGGCAGACTCAGTTTTCCCTGGGGATTTTAGGAGCGTCATTCCAGGAGTCTATTGAGGGACAGGTGAGGGTGTGGAGCTGCTCACCTAAACACATCATTTTACATAAATACAGTTCCCAGGGTCTAAAAGTGACAATCTTCCAAATAAAATGTAATACAGAAGTCTAATGATCAAGACTCCCTTAGACCAAGGCATGGAGGGTTATAAATGATATTTAACCCAGGTTCCTCTCTTCAGTTTCTTCAGGAAATCCAGAATGCTGGGAGCTTCAACTCACAATATTGCTCACAGACTTTTGGAAAGCCCTGTTCGAACACTCTTCTTTTAAATAAAGACAAAGACTTCCTCTATTCATCTTAGGTTTGTCACAGGATAGTCAGTAATGTTTTCTTACTTGATAGTTCATATATTTACAACTATGCTCTCAGTTTCCCATTGAATTGCATGAAATAAACCCCCCTTCATTTTTCTTGTGGAATATTATTGCTTGCTAGTGTTAGTTTGCCAAGGTGCACTTCAAACATGTAGGACTCAGAACGGAACACAACATCTTACGTAAGACGCTGCACCCTATTCACTCCCATAGCCAGGCACTATTAGTCCAATATAACAATTCGTTCACATACAGTACATATTTTCCATTACAAGTACCAAGCTTGATGCCAGCAAAACCACGGTTATTAGTTGTATATAGAATTCTTGGACCCTAAACTGCAACTTTACACGTGTACTTATTGCTATTATGTAGTATCATGACCCGAAGCATGTTAAGACCTTTGGGTCTTAGGTGGGTGGTTGTGAGACACACCATGATATCGGTTACCTAGCTCGTATCTTTTGGGGGGGGGGTACCGGGGATCAAACTCGGGTCCTTGTGCTTGCGAAGCAGGCAGCGAAACCACTGAGCTAAATCCCAGGCCCTCCTAGCTCGTATCTTTCAGAGACACAACATCATGCTATGCTGACTTCCACGGAAATGTCTGCAGTTGACTATCCAAAGTCATCTTCTACTTCCACTCAACAAATCTCAGTGCAAACGTTTTCTTGTGCGGCAATTTTCATTTTAAAAACTTTCCAGGACTTCTTTTCTCTTGCTTACTTTTGAACACGTTTCTAGAGAATAACTATCATGAAGAACTCCCTAACAGCACTTCTCCACAGCCGGATTAAGCAGAGCTGAAAATCCAGTGACAGGCTCGGTTGCACCTTCGGGAACACTGGCGCAAGGCCCTGAGCGCTCCACGCGTGTGCAACACACGTACGTGCACACCTGCCACGCGTGAAGGTCCGCGGAGCTGGAACAGGTGTGCGACCGCGTGTGGACCGCAGATGCGCGGCTTTCGCAGTCACGTGTGTCTGCTCAAACTTAGACCTCACTCTCTCCGCCCCAGACCAGGCTCCACTGAGGCAGACACAGGAGGGCAGCATGGTCCTGGAGACCCCAGCCTCCGCAGGTCCGGGCCACAGCGCTCCCGGAGCGCATCGGAGCCAGGTCGGAGACGGAGCCGCGCCCGCCCGCCAGCCCAGCTCCGCCCAGAAGCCGCCCCAGGCCCCGCGGCCGAGGGGACCCGGCCCGGACAGCCCAGAGCGAGGGCGCCCCCCGGGCTCAGGCCCCGGCTGGTCCTCCGGCGCCTGCGGCCGCGGGCTGCGGGCGAGCGCGTCGGTCGGCGCGGGGCCGCGCGGGGCCACAGGACGCGCAGGGCGGGCAAAAAGTTACCTGGGAGCCGTCGGAGCGCCCCAGGGTGACCGCCCCCTCTCCCGGCCGGCCAGTGGCCCGGGACCCAGGCGTCCTCTTCCCGCCGGACGCCCCGCGCCAGCGCCCTGCCACCCCGCTCCCTCCCCCAAACGCGGGCCGCGCTGCGGGCCGCACTGACGCCCGCGGAGCCGGTGGCGTCGGCCGCACCTTCCCGGCAAAGTTGCGCGTTGCCCGCCGCCCGCCGCTCACCTTGCCGGACGCACTTGAGCCGCAGCGGGCCCTCGCAGTGGCGGATGACGGCCAGCACGTCCCTGGTGGTGAGCCCGGCCACCGGGGTCTCGTTCACCTCCAGGAGCAGCTCCTCCGACACCAGCTTGCTGCCGCTCTCGTAGGCCACCTTGCCGGGTTGCACGTCGCCCAGGTAGGGGAACTGGCCGTTCTCCGCGCCGCCCCTCAGCTCGAAGCCCAGCTGGCCCTCCGGGTTCCGGCCAATGACGCTCTCGTGGACTTTGCTCGTCCAGTGGCTCTTCTTCCTCAGGCTCCTGGACATGGCAGTGGGCTGGGTCGCCGCGGCTCCGGGGCCTGGGGACGAGGACCGCGAGGCTGCGCTGCGGCGGCCCCGGCGCGGAGGAAGCCGAGGCGGCGCCCG